GCCTAAAGGGTCCGAGTACCATTATACTCGCCTCTTCGTCGATATTTGGGGCCCAAAAATATGTACTATACTGTCACTTGGTCCCTTTGGGTTTCGAATGCTCTAAGGCTAGGCTGGGGCAAGGTCCGGGCTTGCGCTTACTGTCCGGACCTGTGCTCCTGAAGACATGCAGCGTGCTGCACCCGGCACTGCCCCTACCCAAAAGTCTCCAAAGTTGCAGGTTAAGGGTTCAGTGTAAAGAGGGTCTCACGACTTATTAAACAAAGAACTATAGAATCTAGAACCCCCAATGTTCTGAAATCCCTGAATCCTAAAACTCTTAACTTTTAGGCTTAAGGTATCCTAATATAAAAACCCAAACCCCTACCAAGACCCAAGACTTCTAAGGCATCAGAGTGCCCCGGCCTCCTCAGTTTCCGCCCGCGGCGGGCAGTAGGCACGCCTCCTGGCATGGAGGTGTGAAAGGTGGGGCGGAAAAAAATTGAATAGGGTTTTTTGGTGGTTTCCTAGACTGTACAGTATTTCATTAAGAAAAAAGTACTACAAAGGGAAATATGTATGAATTCCTCGAATCCCAAGTTTGTTGAGTTATAAGCTACATATAGATCTGCCCTCAACGGCAAACGGCCCTGAACACAAACCAAACATCCAAGATCCTCCTATCTTATAAGTTTTGTTGTGCAAACGCATGTTAGTTTCAGCACCGGGATGTCAACAATGGAATGAAACAAATTAAAATAATGTTGAAGCCAGGATCCCAAATCCCACACCCCTCCCCCGCTGTCAAAAACAAACTGGAGCCCCACCCCAAAGGCCGCAAAACTGAACTCTAAACCCGAACCCCTACACCCTAAATCCTAAACCCAACTCAAAACCCGCAACCCAAAACCCTCTAAACCTGAAAAACCTCAAAAAGGCCGAATCGACCGACCGCCGGGTCCCAAGAGCCTCTTGCAAAGGTAGAGGCTCGAGTCCATCTCCTCTGACCCGGACTCCTCGCAGGTTTGAGCTTAAGGTTTAGACTTTCAGGTTTAGGGGTTAGGGTTACCGTAAAGGGTTTAGGGTTTAGGTGCTAAAGGTACTCCAAACATCGGCTCATTTGCAATGACGCGCTCTTGTAAGGTGTTACAGGGTCTCTCTTGTTGGATGGCGTTTAGGACGGCGGCGCAATGATTCGGTCGATAGGGTGTTGGGGCATATCATGTTTTGTGTATATGTAACATTATATGTACATGTTTATATACATATACACAAGCAAATACGAACAAGCATGTGCGAACACATATATAGATATATACACCTGTATGTATGTATGTATGTCTGTATGTATGTACGTATATGCATATTCATAAATATGTGTATGCATACGTCCATACAACTATAGGTACATATAAGTATAAATACATATACATATATACATATACGTAGCTGTTCGGGGTAAAGGTTTTGTAAATCCGTAACAGACTTAAACCCGAAGCCACAAACCTTGGCTGACTTCTGAACCCCTCCAAAAAGTTAAACTTTTGACCTCCTTATTATAATCATATAGAAACCCCAAAAGTTAAAGTCCTAACAGCCAACCACCGGAACGCCAAGAAACCTCAACAATGAATGTATAAACCTCAACAATGTGGGTGGTTGTCAAAATTAGGATCCCTTTTTGGGTCCATATTATAATACGGCACCTAATATTTAGGGTTCCCAAAAAGGGACCATAATTTCACCCATGTAGACCTCAATCGAAGAAACTCCCGGACCCACGGCTGCTAACAGCCCCAACCCTAAGCCCAAGAAGGGCCATAGGGTTGAGGGGTTTAGGGGTCCTTAGGGTTAAGGGGTTTAGGGTTTAAGGTTGTGGTTTAAGGGTTTAAGGGTTAAGGGTTTAGGGGTTTGTGGTTTAGGGTTCTTCTAGACCTCCCAACTACCCAGTCTTAAGGCCGGTTGTAAATACCCCGCAACCCAAAACCCTGAGCCCTGAACCTCGAAACCCCCACCGTCTAAAACCTAAACCGCAAACCCTAAACCGAAACCTAATCCCCAAATCCTATACCCTAAACCCTGATCATGACCCTACCGGGCGCGGTCCTCGTCAACAACGTGGCAGCACGGCGAACAAGCATCTTCCAACCTGGTCTCTCGAACGGTTAAGGGTTTAGGGTTTAGGGTTTAGGCGCGGCCAGATTTGGGCGGGGTACAGCCTAGATCCTGAACACCAGCGTGCCAGAAGACCGGAAGAGGGAACTAGGGCCAGCACATGCGGGAAGTACTATAAGCATTTACATATATACATCTATCTATCTATCTATCTATATGTATATTTATATGTGTATATATATATGTATATATGTATATATGCAGGCATACAGATTTAAACATGAGCCGACAGATAAAAGCTGGTACTGTAGAAGGTATGACAGTATAACACCCTTTAATTTTCTGCAGGCCAAGCACTGCAAAATCCAGAGAAAAGCCCTGGAAGGACTCGATAAGACAAACCATGCCCGAAGAACACGTCCCCGCTTGCAACTTTTGCTACTGCGCAGCTCTCAGAATCCCGGGCACTTTGTCTGGTTAGGACTGCGGCCAGACATCGTAGCGCTCAGAGTCTCCAAGAGTTCAAGTTCCGGGGTTTTGGCTTTAGGAATCCGGACGTGGTTAAACATGGATCAATGCTGGTAATGCTCGCTCTGGCTTTACTTTTACTACTTCTCCGACCACCATCACCAAGACCACCAGCACCACGACAGCGACCACGACCACCACCCACTACGACTACCACTGCTGCTGCTGCTGCTGCTGCTGCTGCTACTTACTACTACTACTACTACTACTACTACTACTACTACTACTACTACTACTACTACTACTACTACTACTACTACTACTACTACCACCACAACTACAATTACAACTACAACTGCAACTGCAACTGCAACTACAACTACAACTACAACTACAACTACAACTACAACTACAACAACTACTACTACTACTACTACTACTACTACTACTACTCCTGCTGCTACTACTACCGCTACCACTGCTGCTGCTGCTGCTGCTGTCACTACTGCTAGTACTGCCACTACTACTACTGCTGCTACAGCAAACACTGCTACGACGCACCGATTGCTACTACTACCTACTACGTCTGCTATTGCGACTATCACAAGTACGATGCTTTCCCTAGGGGTGGGAACCCAGACTCCCGTAGCTTGAAGGCATAACTAGGAGTTCATTTCAACAATCCCCCAAAATTGATTGTACTTAAGGCTCTATATTAAACAATAAGGGGAAATAACATCTATCCCAAATCTTCACTTCTGTCTGACATAGTATACGGGTGTAGATGTGGGTTCGGGACTTAAGGTCATCCAGGGTTCACAGAAAGGTTTCGGGTTTAGACATGCGTACGAGGTGGGCCCGCAGCCCAGAAAATTTGGCGGCCCTCTGAAAGACTCTCTGTACAACCAGGGCCCTAGGAAAATAACATGCAGTTGCAACCTTCTGTAGACCTGGGTGTTCGGCTCATGCGCTGAACCATTGCAGAATGATTTTTGTAGGATTCATGGAAAACCACCATGTCTATGCGTGGCTAGCAAAACCTCACACGCGTCCGGCTCGACAAGTTTTAGGGAAGCTTAATTGGTCTGTCCACAATAGTGAAGCCCTGCCGTCATAATAACAACTCAACAGTGGTAACATGAGTACTATACCTTTGACAACGGAAGTACCAGTGTACAAGTAGGGTAGGATTTCACGTGTCCATCTACAGATACGGTGGTCAGGCGCTTGGACACCCTGGTCAGGCCGAAGGCATCTGTACCATGCTGGCTTACGATAGACGGGCCTGCCGCATTATGACCATGTGACCTGGAACACGCGTTGAGCAGAAAGGTTAACACAACAGGAATCTTATATAAATCCTATTGTAAACCAAAATGTCTCTGGGGGTTGGCGGAGTGATGAAGAGTAGAGTGCGCAGAGTTCTGCAGCAAGTACTTCCAACATACCTCTGAGCCATTTACCACTGCTCTCGGGAATCAATGTCGACGGGTCTGCATAGAGACATCGTATATTTAGATCTCGAGTCACAGACTGGGAATCCCAGACTTAATATAGGGGCCTTAATAATTAGAACAGGGCATTGGGGCCCATAATAAAAACAATAACAATAAGAATAACAATAGTAATTTTATAATAAGGAGCCCCCAAAAAAGTATTGGTAATTATTTAGGCGCCTATATTACAGCATCTCCATTTCCACCTGGAGCCAACAGATCTTACGCTCGAAATCCTACACACTGAGCCATGGTAGACGCTATGTTCACATCAAACAGGCACCCTAAACCCGAAAGCCGCGGCGGCCTCAGATAAGAGCAGCCTGAGGAGGTCTCATCATGTCACGATTCAGAGTTTCAAAACCCTATCCCCTGAAGAGCCCGAAAGATGTATCTCTGCCGCTTGAAATGCACAAGGGAGGAAGTCCATCTCGTGGGATAGTCTGATAAGGAGCGACTGAGACCATTGAGAACTTTCTACGTACATTATGTCCGTTTGGGAATGCTGTCTCAATACTGATGCGCGTTCTATCGCGTTCTGACTTCGCCCACCATCTGCCCAGAAAGCCCTACTTGTGATGTCTGCTTCGCCCGGTGTTGTTGCATACTGATGCAACACCTCGGGCATTGCACGGAGGCAGATGATTCGTATGGCAACCGAATGACCTTGAAAGAGGTGTCACAAAGGAATACAGCAACTGGGAACCATACGCGGGACCGTTCAGACATGTACATCCTCGGCATGGGCCTGACACCGAGCCCTGAATACTCAATACCATCATGGAAAAAACTCTGACCCCGTTCCCCTCACTTAGAGCACCACGCGAACAAGAAACACGCAGACCCCCACACAGCAAACACAAACAACATGGACCCCCAAAAACCGTCGAAGGTTGCCTGTCCTACTACTAATGTCAGTAGCCTCGAGGCGGCGCGCATTGGTCAAAGAAGGGTCTCGCGCGCACGCTCCAGCAGTTCTGACTTCTCGAAGCAGCCCACCACCTTTCTGAGTCTGGCATGCGTTGGCAGTTTAAGAAAATTCAACCCTAAACCGTCAAAGTCAACACGAGAAAGTTGGAACTTGGATTTAGTATGATCCATGCTGGGATTCTGCATACTTCACCTTAACTTTCCGGCTTCTACGGCTTCTACTATAACCGTCCAAGGCTTCAGGATATCAATCGGGGGTGTAGGAACGGATTATTGGGGCTTGGGAAGAAGATTAGGCCTAGTTGAACGAACATGTCGTGCCGCCCGAAGTACAGGTGGGCTGGGTGGAATGTGCACTTCTGAGCCGCCAACAATGATGGGAGGCCACAAGGGGGGTTTAAGATTCTTGGGGTGGGGATTCCATAATAGGAACCCTATTACGGGAACCGTAATCCCTACTAAGCCCCCATAGGCCAAAACCCCTTTTGGCCTCCTATGAAACAAGTGTCCGAGGTCGAATGCTAAAATCCCTTAAAATCGCGGCTCATGGGTCTCGGAACAGTGATTCACGGTTTGGGGCAAGTCCTCAATTCCCCGAGCCTCGCCCTGCTTTCAGAATTTCCTGCTTGAACATGGGATAGTGCAGACTCCTGTAGTAATTGATTCGGTCTTATTCATCATTACCTCTTGGATTAGATATACAAGTCATGTCGTTTTCTTGAGGGTATCTACAGTGGCTTCTCCATGTCAGCCCTAACCCTGGCCAAAAACCCTACATTCACATCCCTTTAAACCCTAAATGCTCCCAAGCCACGCTGATTCCGGCATCTAGTAGCAGCGCTTTCAGCTCCTCGACGCCACAAGACAGTCACTGCCTAGAGACCCAATCACCTACTGCAACAGCTTGTTTTAGGATCTAGGGTAGGGTTTAGGGTTTAGGACTTCATTTTTGATACTGGCCTTCGCGAGGTTGTGGTTTCTCGAGCTTGCGGGTGGTCAACCGTAGCCCTATGAAGCTTCTTGTACAGACAACAAAACACACGACACCACTGATTCTCAGGAGTTCAGCTTAGGGCTTTAGGGTTTAGGGCTCAAGGGCGGCAAAGCCTGACGAGTGAAGGACAAATGGATGACCGAAGTAAGTGCTTGGCCCCAAATCCTTAACCTTTCTGCCTTCAAATCCCCGCAATAACTCCAAACTAAACCCTAAACCCTAATACCCTTATATAACACTAAACCCTAATACCCTTAACCCCATACCCCAAACCCTAAACCTTTGAGGACTGCGTTCCAAAGGCAGCTCCCAGGTTCAGCTGTGCTATCAGTCGGGTTTCCTTACAGGATCATGGGACTTGGTAACTAGGGTTCCTTAAAGGGCTCTTAAAGGGATCTATAAGGGTTCCTTAAAGGGATCTACAGGGTTTAGGGTTTAGGGTCTACTTAAAGGATCATGGGACTTGGTAACTAGGGTTATAATTAGGGTAACTATACTTATAACCCCAATAGAAGAACTTACAACCTTACTTACTAAGTCCCATGATCCTCCAAGTAGGGTTTAGGGTTCCTGTGGTTTCGGGTCGAGGACACAAAAGCTTGCGCGCTGCTACTTCGACGAAGAAAGCTCTAGGAACCCTGATAACTTTTGTAGTATCTCTGGTAGTATTCTTCGGATACCAGTGTCGTTATGGCCAGAACTTGCTGCTTACAGTGGTCTCCTCAGAACGGCTACTGCGGTTCTTGGCATTGCCATGCCCGATGGTGCGCCTCTAGGGGGCTTTAGGGTTTATGATTTATGGTGTTTCGGGGTAAGGAGTTTCGGGTTCGGGGCCTGTGAAGTTAAATTGCTGAAGCTTTTCTCGCGCACCACTACCCCAAGGGTTAATCCGAGCGGTTCCTTGAGTGATACCTGCGCTGCAGGTTCCGAGTGCTGCTAGTATTGCTTCTCTTGAAAGGTTCGGTTCAAGTTCGCACCGATTTGACCGTCATGCGCAAGTACTTAGCCCGGAGATGGCAACAGCATGCCCGCAAACATCCATAAACACCCCAAACCTCAAAACCCCGGAACCCAATAACAACAACACACCACGTAAGCCCGCAACCCTCCCCGTCTTCCGAGGATGCCAGAACTTGAGTACAGCAAACCAAAACCTCGAATTTAAAAGTGTCCCTGAAGCTAGAATAGGTAGGTTATGCTCCTTAATTAAGATGTCTTAGAGTCTCTGGCAACATAGTGACTATCACTGTTGTCTCGCTCTCATGTCGGGGTCCTTCGCCGACATCCTGGCGCAATACATTTTGCAGACTTGACTGACCTCGGAAGCCTCCTCAAGGTTAAAGGTTGCCAAATCCCAACCGAATAAAGCTTCCTCGAGCACTGGAGCCGACCCTCGACGAACGTTACACGAACACGGTTGGATGCTATACACACCCAGCCTCACGCCGAGTACATATAGGAAACTTGGAACCGTCTATGAATCCCGAAGCATCAAGCTGCCAAGCTACGATGTTTCAGTCGCCGTTTGGGTGCCAACTCATGACAAATCATCTTTGCGCCTCATACACTAAACCAGAACTGCACGCCAGCGTTGTCATTGTAGAGCGATGGTATCGCGAAGCCAATGCCCGAGTCATTAAATCGAAACAACTTCCGACCGCTAATAACATCATAAAATGCTCGACAGGCTTGAATCCTGCGCAATGACGCAAATCGCTTCGAAAAACGAAAGCCAAAACTACTGTATCACGAAGAAGCGTACAAACACTATGAGTTAAAGTAGTATAGTTCATAGTTGGTAAAGACAGCGGCTCTAAATATCAAGTATTAGATGAATACATGAAACATTGATCCGGCGGTCACCACGAGCGACATTCATCTGTATGAACACGTAAGGGCCTAAGTGCCCATATATGGTGCCGCGTCGCCGCGTCGCCGGCCCCCCCCCCCCCCCCCGCGAAGCCAGGCGTCTCGTCCCATCAATCGTTCACAAGTCATCCGCGTAACTCCCCCCCAAGCCAGGCCTCGCCTCTCGCCTTGGCCAACGGCGGGCCAACGGCGGGGCGGAAGGGATAACCCACAACAGTGGAACCACAAGACGGCGAACCACAGGGGAGGGGTGGGGAAGGATAATCCACGCAGGGAACCACCGGGCGCCTTCCCTTCCCCTCTCTTCGAACACAAATGAGAATGTTCGCACAATGCTGTTGATGTGCGAATCCCAATGTGGCTGTTGGTGGTACGTTTGCTCTTATGTTGCTCTGGGCTTCGGCGCCGCATGTTCATTGCTTTATCTAGTTGAAAACCGTGCTTGGCTTGTGATGTTCTTGCGATCGACAGTTGTCATTCCAAGCCAAGTTTCGGTTGGGTTCGCTACAAGTAAGCTTGAGCACGTGTTTGAATGGTTTTCATTCGGGACTTTTGAGCAAGGGACCGGGCGAGAGTGCGGATGGGGATCACGACCACCATCTTCGTCATCATCATCATCACCATCATGTTCATCACTATCATTGGCTTTGGAGCTCAGGGCAGGTCGGAGTTCAATAGAACTGTATCACATCCTACGATCCAAACCCGTAGCAACCGGACGCCCAACCAGCAATAGCCATGAACGGGGGCGCAGGGCAGGGGGGAACCCACACCACAGGGAACCACAGGGGGGGAGGGGGGGATACCATGGGGTGGGGGGGGGAGGGGGGGCCTAGCAGCGCTGCACCATTTCTTATATGGTTTGGCCTTGAAGTAATCCTTATACAGGTGTTTTAGGGACACATATACACATGGACCCTAGGGCCCTAGAAGTGCCTTAGGAGCTAAACCCGAAACCCGGATGGCACCGTCATAATTTCAAAGCCCTCACTGTACCCTCAAAAAAAACCCGTGCAGCAGTTTTAGGTAACTCAAGACATGAACTCCTAAACGAACCCTTACAGGAACCCCTTAATTAAAGGAACCAGCAGACCCTAAACTTAAAGCCCTGAATCCTTACACCCTTAAAACCCTTAACCCTAAACCCCTAACCCCCAACCTACACCCCAAAATTTCCACCGGGCCCCTATGCCGTTCCCACCCATAATGCCCAGACCCCGAAGATGCCGGGCAGTTTCTCACCAAACCATGGGTTCAGACAGCCCCATCTGGGGCGTAAGATCCACTAGAATATGTTGATTTCCCCTTGATGGGAATGCCCTAAAACCGACGCTCAAATTCCTCGGGCGTTTGGCATTCTTCCATTCTTGAAAATGGGTACTTTCAGGGGTCCAGGCCCTCGATCCCCAGCAGGCAGATTCCAGACACCCGGCTGGTCATAGGGGCCGAGCCAACAAAACGCCAAAACCTAGGGAGTGCAGGTGTTGGGGTGGGAAGACTTGAAGACCCCCTGACGTGTAGCCTGCACCTTCAGTACATTAATCTGCGTCTTGCTGGTTTGCCCAAAATCGTCGTCTGCATCGCCAGCCCGCCCCGGTTACAGTACGAACCCCCTGACGCGTAGATTTCTAGGCCCTGCAGGTGCAGTGCCCACCATGCCCGGTTCATGCCCACACAAGCACGGGTGTAGGATCGGTGCGAGCACACGAAGGCAGGCACAAAGTCATGCTTGCTGCGGTGACATGCGAGTGACATCTGGTACGAGAATGCGATTATAGCGAACTGCTGCTGCTGCCGCCGATGCTGCGGCTTTGCGGCAACTGCTACTGCTACTGCTGCTGCTAGTGCTGATGCTGCTCGGGGTTGAGGGTTTCGGCTGCAGCTGTGGAAGCAGTGTGGAGGACATGTACTGGCTGCAGCACACAAAAACAAGATCGGGACATCGTTTTCACTCGCCCGCTCGCCCCACGGGCAGCAGTTAACTAAGATGCACAGGCCACGACAGCGCAACTCTGGAGCGGCGCCGGCGTTGCCGGCGACAGCTCGCGGAAGAACTGCGGGGGGGGGGGGGGATCTTGCTTTGCTTTCCCGCCAACACCTGCTTCAAAGCTTTCCACTCCCACTTCGCCGGCATGGGCAACGAGTGGCCATGCGCATGCTCATGCCACTTCCACAGCTCGTCTGTATAGGCCGCGCCGTTCCGGCGCCCCAATGCATTCTGCGGGAAATGCTCCGCCGTCCAGAGCACCACAGTCGGGTCATCTTGCTTCTTGGCCAACTCCACCGTAGGCAATTTGAAATGGCACGCTGTGTCAGCAGCGCTGACGCCACGTCGGAGTCCAGAGCAATGCGGAGCCTGACCAGGGGTGCAGGACTAAGTTCTGCAGCAGGCCTTGCGACTGACCTAGCCCCCTTCTTCTTCTGTATACCCGGCCCATGCACTGCCCACACGACCCCACATTGTGCAGCGGCAGCCCAGCCTGCTCTCCTCCAAGTTCGCCCTTGCTGGGTTGACCTCACCCAGCACGGTGCCCTGGTTGGAGATCGGGTCCAGCATGAGGATCGGACCGCACCAGGTCGCAGGAACGCCCCTGCTCGTCACCGACGTGAAGGCACACCTGGAGCTTGCTGGTGTATTAGCTTTCCAGAGCCTCTGCCGGGCAGTGGCACTTCACGCATCGGTTTTGGAAGGAGGTCCAAAGTTGAGCTCGGCTCTGCCACGATGAGCAGCTGATTTACGCTCGTTGGCTCATGGCCAGTTCGTGCTCCATCTTCCGCTGTGCATCCAGCTCGCGCGGACCGTAGACCTGCGCTGCGCTCAAACAACCCTCGGCACTTCTCGCCTCGCTCACGGAGTCGATGACTGGAGGGAGAAGCAACTCGAGTCTCCGAAGCATGTCCTGGTCCGTCTCATCAGGCCGCGTGTGGGCCTGCCGAGCTCCAGAACTCCATCCGAAGCCTCGGCAGCGACGGGGGCAGCATTCGCTTCCGGAATCTTTTCGCCATCCTTGTTCTCGCCGTCGTTGCTCTCGGCGCTCGGTGCTCAACAGCCTTCGAGAAGACTACGACATGGAAATGTCATGTCCCTGTCCACCACCTTTCAGCTGAAACGCAACCAAAGAGGCTATACGACATGAAGGTTTAGGGGCTTAGCTAGTCGAGTATTGCTGTCCTCCCCCTTCTCAACAACACTCAAAACGCAAAACGACTGCGAAGCATCAGCTTTCAAACATTCCAAGTAAATGCAGACCAAACCGTACAGGAAAATGCATTTCGGCCCTAGGTTGGTTCCTCAGTCTATTCAAAACAATGCAGCAGTGTTTTGGTTTTGGGTTGTTCGTAATCGACATGTTGCTCCAGGCACATCCGGTCCCCGGTCGGACGGCGTGAGCCCCTGGCCCGCTGCCTGGCGCCTTCTGTGCAGGCTCCACGAGGAGCCCCCGAGAAGTCTAACTTGATGTTTCGAATCTTCAGGGTGTAAGAGTTATGGGTTCAGGCGTGTACTTCGAAGCTTTATATATATATATATATATATATATATGGTGCAGCGCTGCTAGGCCCCCCCTCCCCCCCCCACCCCATGGTATCCCCCCTCCCCCCTCTGTGGTTCGCTGTGGTGTGGGCTCCCCCCTCCCCTTCCCCCCTGTGGCTGCGGTCAGCTGTGCCCCCTTCCATGGCTATTGCTGGTTGGGCGTCCGGCTGCTAAGGGTTTTGGCCTTAGGATGTGATACAGTTCGACTGGACTCCGACCTGCCCTGAGCTCCAAAGCCAACGACAGAGATGAATATTCTGGTTATGACAATGACCACCAAGATGCTGGTCATGATCCCCATCCGCACTCTCCTCCGGTCCCTTGCTCAAGAGTCCCGAATGAAAATCATTCAAATTCGTGCTCAAACTTACTTTTAACGAACCCAACCGCAATTTGGCCTGGAATGACAACGGTCGATACAGTTTTCGCAAGAACATCACAAGCCAAGCACGAATTTCACACTAAATAAAGCAATGAGCATGCGGTGCCGAAGCCCAGAGCAACACAAAAGCAAAGGTACCACCAACAGCCACACCGGGAATAGCACATCAACATCATTGGGCACAACATCATCGCCATCATTCTCATCTGTATGTCGAAGGGGAGGGGAAGGGGAAGGGGCCCTGTGGTTCTCTGTCTTGTGGTTCTATGGATTGTTGGTTACCCCTCCCGCTCTCCCCGTTTGCTAAGGAGAGGTATGTTTTGGGGGGGAGTTGCGTGGATGACTATTTGCTGGGACGAGAGGCCTGGCCTGGGCAAGGGGGGGGGGGGGCATACCATGGGGGGGGGGGGGGGGGGGGGCCTGCGACGCGGCGACGCGGCACCATATATATATGGGGTTGGGTGCGAGGTTCTGACGGTCCCGGGTTTTAGTTGTCAGGGCTTACGTGGTCGGAGGTTTGTGCGCAACTTCTCTGTATCCGTGCAGATTGATAGATCTATCTAGTTATCTATCGATCTATCTCCATCTCTCTCTCTCTCTCTCGCCATCTCTGGTTCTTTCTCGTTCTCGTTCTCTGTCTCTCTCTCTCTCTCTCTCTCTCTTGGTTTTCACTTTTCTTCCTTTCTGCAGGTCGTGAGCCTCAGGCCATCGGCCGTGCCCAACCACACAATGTCATTATTGAGTGGTTGGCTTTGGGGTCCCACTGCCTCTCTCTCTGTCTCTTTGCACTCTCTCTCGTTTTATCTCTTCACTCTCTCTCGTCTTTCTCTCTGTGTTTCTCTCTCTGTCTCCCTCTCGCTCCCTCTCTCTCTCTCTCCCTCCCTCCCTCTCTCCCTCACTTGATTCATTCAGGGGCTTTGTCGCAAAAAGTTAGAACCGGGAGTGGAAACAAAGGGCCTTGGAACACCATACTCTGGTCAGACTTTGGTCGAAGCCTAAGGGGCTCGATGAACTTTTTGGTTACAGCTTTTGCCTTTGAGGTTTAGCACATCTGAGTCTCAAAGACAAGCCGAAAAGAGGCGGCCTCTACTTGATGTTGCCCGGCACTGGGCACGACACTGCGCACACAGACACAGACTCCTTTCCCAGCCGATGGTGATGAAAAGTTGCTAAACTTCTGCCGGGCCGACCAGGGAAATGTATATGGAGGGGGTTTCGAGGCAGCCCGGAAGATCTCCCGAGATTGGGCCGTTCGACGCTACCCTACCAAGAATATGTACTCACGGGGAAGGCCCTCCCCATGTCTCGGCGGACCTCTGCACACAACCGAACCCCGCCAAGAGGACAACAGGGCCTCCTAGACCAAGCCCTCACCCCCCCCTGGCCCCCTGGCTTTTCTGGGCCTCCCGTGCCTGATTCGATGTGGGAATTGAGGGCATAAGCCCTGAACCCTAACAGGAGATGGTTTGTGTGGTTGCCTGTGGTATCATCACAGCGCGCGAGGTTTAGAGAACTTCCGGTTTCACACAAATCCTGGTGCGAGGTGGCACTATCGCAGCATGGATTACCTACCAGCCACTGCGCAACAAGACACCCTAAACCCTAAACCCCTGAACCCTATACACCCCAAGCCCTAATACCCTAAACCCATGAACCATTAAACCTTAACTCCCTAAACCCCTCAACCCCTAAACTTAAACCCTCAACCCTGCATCCTAAACCCTTAAAGGATAAAGGCCGTGCCTGGCCAACTCTTCCGGGCGCACCGCTCTCCGCAAACGCCGGGCCACGAAGGCCGAGACGTCCCTGGCTTCCTGAGGATTGGTTAAAGAGACCAAGAAGCGCGGGGTTTCTATAGGGCTTATAGGGTTTACAGGGTTGATAGCGTTGATAGGGTTTAATTAGGGTTTATAAGCTTTATGTTTTTGAGCACTGGAAAAAAGGGTTTATGGGTTTAGGGTTACGGTTTCGGGTTTAGCCACAGGATTTATCCCTAAACCCTAAACCCGTCCATCCCAAGGTATAGAGCCCTGTGAAGGGCACCCTAGGTAATTATTAAGGCCCCTACAAAAACTTAGTTGCTGATTTCATAAGCCACAAAAAATGCACACTCTTAGTTTTAAAGTGGGTCAGATTATCCCAAAAAGTGTAAAGTGTATCCACTCAGCTGCTAGGAAAATATCCCCAAACTCTACTGGTCTCATAGCTCTTGGGAGCACGTGGGGACATGGGATTTTTAGAGGATCCGAGCTCCGGCCGCCAGTCCCTATTAAACCTACTGTAGGAGAAGGGATCTATAGGGGTACTATAATAATGTAAGAACCTGATTAAGAAACCTTGGGTTATTAATATGGATCCTGATATATTGGGGTTATAGGGCCAGAGTTTCTTCATCAGGTTCCTACATTATTTACACTGTCTCCTGAACTCCAGACAGGAACATTGAAGGAAGCCCTTTTTAGCATAACGTCCCTTCTAGGAATGTAGGATCTCTTCCTGAAGGCATTTAGAGGCTTAGGATTTCCGGATTAGGGGCGTAGCGGCTGGGGGTTTACGGGTTTCGGCGTCGGGGTTTCAGGTTTTAGGGGTCTGGGGGCTTCCGTTTAGGGCTCGGGGTGTATTTATTTTTTGGGGGGTTTCGGGCTGTGCACACTGTGAGGGGAATCCAGCTGTATGTCATTGTGAAGCGGTTTGTGGCATTCCAGAAGCATGGTCAGGCGATATCATGTAGAGGTATGTCTCCGACCTAAAAAGCCTACTAGGTAAATAAAGGATAGATAGACAGATAAGAAAGATAGCTGGGTAGACAGATACAGATGGATAGTAGACTGACTGACTGACTGACAGATAGATGTTGAGACAGATAAATAATATTTTTAGAAAGATATAGATTTGAATTTGTAGACAGACAGATAGATGTTCAGAGTGGTAAGAGTGGCAGCAGATGTTGGAACAGAAGCAGAAACTCACTGTTGTAACAGGGATTTGGGGCAATCGCCCGCACACCCAAAAATCTAAACCTTTAAACCCTGGCCAACCCCAGAGAAACCTATGAAAACTGAAACCTAGCAAGCACCTATGGAACCCTCGCAAATCGCTAGCCATAAAGTCTGAACCCTGAACCTCACAAGCCGAGTCCAAAGCCAAGACCACAACTTTCAAACCCGGGCCTCCTTAAACCCGGGCCTCCTTAAACCCGGGCCTCCTTAAACCCTAAACCCCTAACCCCTAAACCCTCAACCCCTAACCCCTAAACCCCTAAACCCCTAAACTCCTAAACCCCAAACCCCTGAAAGCTAAAACACTCGGGGGCCTCGGGACAGTAGGCATGGCCCATGCCGGGGTAGCTGCGGAACTCTGCTTGGATGCCTGGCCATGGGTTTGATAGGGTTTAGGGTTTAGGGTTCTTTGTAGGGTTTTAGGGTTTCCTTTGTAAGGTTTTAGGGTTTAGGGTTTTAGGGCTCAGGGTTTCCTGAAAAAGGGTTTCCTTCGTAGGGAAATAGGGTTTAGGGTTTCCTTTATAGGGTTTTAGGGTTTAGGGTTTCCTTTGTAGGGTTTTAGGGTTTAGGGTTTCCTCTGTAGGGTTTTAGGGCCTTTAGGGTTTCCTTTGTAGGGCTTTAGGGTTTGGGGTTTCCTTTATAGGGCTTTGGGGTTTAGGGTTTCCTTTATATATAGGGTTTTAGGGTTTCGGGTTTCCTTTATGGGGTTTTAGGGCTTAGGGTTGCCAGATGTTTATGTGATAATACAAAACTTCATTGCCGTCTATGGAGTTTTTTGAGATCTGTATACGGCCAGACAACGCTGTACAAGGGATTCACTGCTGTTTACCGCCTCAAAAAGGAACACCACTGAAACGCGAAGAGGGATCCTTAATGAGCAGTGCTTGATGTAGATCGTGAGTTGGGAAGCACCGGGCTTTGTTGATTCAATGGGCTCATAAGGTGGTACGATCCCTGAAAGAAGAGCCCTCTAGAACTGATCCTTCGTCCCACCCTGGGTTTGGGACATCCTGAACCCCAAACCCCAAAACCTTTGAGGACCCTGTTTGGTGGAGGGTTATCGGAGTTCACGTCTCAGGCGGAGGCCGCGACTTGAGGGTTCTGCTTTCGCTTGTTTGATAATTTGGGGCCTTCATTAACGGATGCGTTAGGGTTTAGGGTTCAGGGTTACTACAATTAAGGTTTACTATACTGGGTATATTAGGGTTTTGGCTAAGGGTTGTTGTTGACGGGTTCCAGAAGGCTTTCTCGACGGGGTTTTCTGGAGGCATCAAAAGGTGGGATGAAGGTAGCTAGGATTAAGGATCCCATATATGACCCTAAACCCTAAACCCTAAACCCTAAACCCTAAACCCGACTCTTATCTTGGGATTACCCCACCTACCTTCATCCCACCCTCGTAGCCCCTTAAGTTTTGACTTGAGGGTTCAGACCTGGGCGTTCGATTCGGGGTTCGAAGCTGTAAAGTTTCTAGTGAACCCAGAAAGTTGGACCATAGACTTAGGATGATTCATGCTGGGATTCCCTATACAGGCCCTATACTTTACTTCATGGCCATGAGGCTAATGATGTTCCAACTTTCTGGCCTCTACTGCAGGGATTTGGGCTGTAAAGTTTGAGGTCTCATAGAGAACTGTTAGACATGACAGCTAAGGCCGTTTCGCGATTTGTGTGAAATGCTTCTACTTGCAGCAGAGGTCCACACCGAGGGAGTTTGAGATTCGGGCTGAAGCTTTTAAAAGTTGAAACCTTAACCCTTTTCTCCAAGCCTATCCCCAAGGGTCCAAGTACCCAATTATCATATACTCTCGAAAATAGTAACCTACATAACTACCATCCTAAACCCAAGTACCTAATTCTTGGATCCTTTGAACCCTTGGGGTATGTTATGCCCTAAACCCTAAACCCTAAACCCTAAACCCTAAACCCTATGACCTCTAAACTGGAAAGTCAAAACTTTGAGGCTTCAGGGTTTCACGAGGCTTCAGGGTTTCGGAACAGGGCGGAGACCAGGGTTTGAGGCGGTTTAGGGTTTAGGGGTTTAGGGTTTAGGGGTTTACGGTTTAGGGTTTAGGGTTTAGGGTTTAGGGCCTTGTGGCTTTGATCACAGGGGAAAAGGGGGGACCCTTAATGGGGACCCCTACCCTATCCCATGATCCTCCAGGTGGGTTTGTTTTGGACCCGCCTTGTTGCCGGAGAGTGTCGACGAGGCTCCGTCCGGAGGAAAGAGGCACGGCACCATCTGCCTGACATGCGGGTGGAGGATCATGGGACTTAGTAGTTCCTTTAAGGGTACTGTAGAGGTCTATAATAAAATGCTCCTTAAAGGGATCTATAAGGGTTCTATAAGGGTAGTTGTCAAAATTGGGGGGTCCCTTTTTGAGTACCCTAAATATTAGATGCTGTATTATGATAAGGACCCAAAAAGGGCCATAATTTTGACAACCACCCATGTGAGTCATGACTTCGAGCTTGCTTGGAGGATCATGGGACTTAGTAAGCAAGGTTATAAGTACTCTAATTGGGGTTATAAGTATGGTGACCCTAAATATAACCCCAGTTACTAAGTCCCATGATCCTTTAAGTGCCAGACATGACTTCGAGCTTGGGTTTGCTGCCTACTTGGAGGGCCAGGGGAGTTGGTCGGCTATAATCAAGTAGGGTTATAAGTACCGGAAAAGGGATCCTACTTGGGGCTAAGGTACTTACAACTGTATAAATCTACGAAATGGTGACTTAGTAAGTCCCCCGACCCTCCAAGTAAGGCTTCTTAGCGATGGAGTGCTTCGGGGCTTCGACCCGGAACCCTAAACGCTCGGGGCCGTACGAGCCGAGGAAGCTGAAACGAAACTCCTAAAACGAAACTCCTAATCGCGATCAAAATGATATCACTGCTGGCATGTAGAATCCTGGAATGCACAATGGCGGCTAGAGTTTTCTCAGAAACCTTCTATAATCTCATACTGACTACGGCAAAACAAACAAATTCAACAAGAACTCTCACAAGTTTGAAGTTCCCCTACTAAGTCACTACATAACGACAACACAGGGCTTTCCAGGTCTCATGAGCCAGGTCGTATTGGGGCTACATGATTCGAAGAGTGTCTTGGGGTACATACTAAAGAACATGAAGGAAACATAGGGCCCCTATACCCTTCGTACAAAGCCTGGAGCACACAACAGCGTTGCCTCACCATGCACACCCAGGACGGGGAGCCGCCTGCACAAGGAAGCAGTACTTGGAGGATCGGGGACTCAACAAGCAGGGACGTAAGGTAGACAGAGGTGTATTTGCTTCTACCCGCAGCTAAGGTACTAGCAAATGTACTGATAAGCCCACTTCCTAGAACCCCGTGCCCGCCCTTCAACAAGTAAACCTAAAACTCAAGCCAAAAGCCCTGCAGCGTAGAGGGCTCCTGTCTATCCCTCATATCGCAGAGATACTCAAACTCGAAGGGTGCTGACAGCACAGCGGGTTCTACAGTTGCGAAATTGCAGTTTGGGGATCTACGATTCTTACTTTTAATATCACGGAGAAGGAATTCCAGCTTCTTGAGGAAACTATCTGCACTTAGGAGTGGCTGCAGGCGGTCTGATTTGTCTGAGGGTGTCCGACTTACTTGGAGGGCCATGGGACTAAGTAGAGTTATAAGTCCCCCAATTGGGGTTATAAGTATGGTTGCCCTAGTCATAACCCTAGTTACTAAGTCCCATGATCCTTTAAGTAATCCCTAAAACCCCTCTTATAATGGAACCCCTATAGATCCCTTTAAAGGATCCCTTTAAGGAGCCCTAGTTACTAAGTCCCATGATCCTTTAAGTAGAAGGTTTCCCAGGTATCCAACCCATGAACGCGCAAACCCTCGATCTGGGGCCTTGCCCTATCAGAAGGCTCAAGGGTTTAGAGTTTAGGGGTTTAGGGTTTAGGGGTTTAGGGTTTAGGGTTTCGGGGTTTAGGGTTTAGGGGTTTAGGGTTTAGGGATTATCGTAGCCACTAGGCCCTAACCCCTCAGCCCCTAAACTTCCTTAAATCCTAAACTTCCCTAAACAACGCTAAGCTTCCCTGGACCCAAATCTTTTTGGTAACCCTTTTTGGAAGCCTGAAATCTTATAGCGCCCTAAACCCTAAACCCCATGTGCCTCGCCTGTTTTTGGACCCTAAACACTAAGCCCCTAAACCCTTATAGAGCGCTAAAGGAACCCTTTAAAGGAGCGCTTAAAGAATCAATCTATACCCCCTAAACCCTTAGGGAGCCCTTTAAAGGGACCCTTTAAAGGAGCCCTTCAAGAATCCTTTAAACCCCCTAACCTCGCCTGTTTGTGTCTGCTACCTGCACGGACTGGGGACCACCGCCCAGACTCAGAAAAGTCGATGCAGCGACGCAGCCTGCAGGAATGAGAGCAGCCATGACAACGGGTTTAGGGCTTAGGGTTTAGGGCTTTTTTTTTTTTTAAGGGCCCCTTTTCGATCAGCATGAAGCGTCTCAAAAGCCCATTTGGGCAGGCAACAGATACTCAGTTTCAAGTACCTGGTTTTCGGAGGTAACTAACAGCCCTTCAGAACTTGACACAGAGCACATACTCACCCTCATACTCGGCGGAGTCGTTTCGTCTTCACATCTATGTCCAACTCACTCTGCTCAGCTTTCTCAGATACAGTAACCCCAGTCCCTTCGCCCTCACTCTCTTCATCGATAGCCGACCCTGACTCAACTTGGATCGTTGACTCGTGCTCCACCAGGGGGTGCGGGAACGCAGACATGCCAGCAACACCAGACACCCCTGACCCCGAAACTTCCTGAACCATGGTGAAGCTCCCAAAGTTCCCATTCTCAAACGAGGACTCTGCAGATCCAAGCTCCGTGGTCTCAAGCAACCCTTCCTCGTTCATATTCCCCGGTCCAAGACCATCACCCTCACATAAGCCAGGAAGAGGGGCAGGGACAGCAAGATGCCCTACTGGTAGCTCTCCAACATCACGTCCAAGTAGACCAGAAGGATGCCCAGGAACCGCAGGATGTACCGGAGTGTCCAACTCGGGCTCACATGGTTCTTTTCCCACTCCAGCCATTCGGTCGTTGTCCAGCATCCCTTTACACTCAGTCCGACAACCATCACCATCTCCATCCAGTTGAGTCTCAAGCGAGGTCTCCAGATCCCTTTGGCCCATAAAGAGATCAAGCCAATCCTCCCCATAGTCCGCGACCACCTGAGCATCCGTCACTTGTCCAGACTTCCACTTCCCATAGACAATATCCAAGCTCGGCTCATAAGCAGTGGATGCCTCAGACCCTTCCGGTCGACCAACTCCTGCTGGCGGCTTCAGCTGTTCTTCACGATGGTCCCGGTCAACAGTCACCACCAAGGTCACTGGGAGGTTGGACTGGCTCGTCTGCAAGACCACGCAGTCCGAACTGGAGCATGCATCCGTTGACGACAACCGGACACGCAGCTTGGGTGGAACCACGGTCGGTGTGTTCAGCACCACCCAGTCCTCCCAATCCTTATAGACAGCCGCTTCGTGTGCTTCCCAAAGTGCTCGATCCCTGACGTTCTGGGCCTCTTCTTCTTCTATTTCTCGAGCTCGAAGTTCGTCCTCCTCAGTCCGCGGTGGCTCCTGGCTTTCGTCGATGGTCACCGACTGCATTTCTTCAGGAATCAGACAAGTGGTTGTAGGCCATGCTGAAGAGCAAGCGGCGAGCATACTCATCGCATTCTTGACCCAGGATGGTTCCTCATCCAGTGGCAAGTAGAACCCAGGTGGACTGCCGGCCGCTGTGAGCACAGCACTCACCAGCCTCCATTGCCATCCCACCGCCCGGTGTACAGCCCTTTGCAGTTGTCCGCGTAGCTGACAGGCCCGTCGAAGGCGCAATTCTGGGTCCATAGCCATGAGCCCCTCATTGATGAAAGACACAGGGCTTTAGGGGTTAGGGTTTATACAGAGTTTACAGTAGAGAGTTTAGGGTAGAGGCGTATGGACTTTAGGGCTTCAAGGAGAAAAAAAGGTGCGGGAAGAATGTATATAGCGCAAACTGCCATCTCGAATACTGGTCATAGACTCGCTCTATGCGTCTACTTGGCTCAGCCTGCCGAAGCCCAGGGCCCATGTATGCATCACGACAAGATACTCGGAGTCTGCAAACATCGAGTTGGGGTTTAAGTCTGAAACCTATACAGCAGCTGGCCAGGATCTCTTCGGTGGTGAGTTTCTCACCCTCGGCGGTGGTGAGCACAAGCTTGTGGATCAAGGTCCGCAGGACCTTGACAGCTCGTGGGCTTGTCCCTCGGCGGGCTTGCTCGACGACCTCATCGATGAGCACAGCGGCTCTTTATTGGAGTCGCTCATGGCATCCGTGTCATGCCATAAGCAGCCCTCTGTGGTGCCTCTTCTTGGTCATCCGTACCACGCATACAAAAGGACCCAGGCACTAGTGCAGTGTAGAAGGTCGTAGCTTGTAAAGTTTGGCATAAGGTATCACATGGGGCTGCTTGAGCCCTTCATGTAAAAAACCTATACCCTGGAGCTCTGATTCATACACGCCCGGTCACAACAAGTCTCAAACTGTGACAGGGATCCACTAAGTACCAGCAAGGTCCTACAATTCTCAAAAGAAAGGGGGCTAAAAAGCTCTGCACCTGTGCTTCTCGTCTGAAGTGGGAGCCCGGCAACCTAACTCGAAGCAAACCGAAAATCGTAAAGATACTGCGTCCCCTGTAAACTCCCGGTTCCTAAACCACTTACCAACTGTTCAAAACTGCCACAAGATTAAAAAAGCTTAGATCCAACACCCTAGGCCCCACCAAAACATGTCCTCCACGAGGCAAAACCCTGGCCACACCGGGCTGTCTTGCTAAAAGGTCAAAGCCCCAACAGGGGCTGTAACAAGATCCCCTAAGCCCAAGCCCTGGTCGAACTCTCAACCCTCCCTCAGCCCTGAAGACCTGAGCCCATAAACGCTCAAACTCTAACCCTCGCACACTTGGCCCTTCACCCTGAACTCGAAATAACCCGATGATGGTGGGGTCTACCGCCGCAGCTCCCTCCTCCCAGCGGTGCGTCTGGAAACGATAACGCAGCCTTGCCGAGGATGTGTTTGGGGTTTTGGTGGGGTCTGCAGGGGTTCTACAGGTCAGGTGTAACTATATAAGGGTTACCAGAAGGATTCACAAAAGGTTGCAAAAAGGGCTAGGTTAGGGCTCAAGAAGCAAAGAAATGATACTTGTAGCTGTTTGTGTTGTGTCCGCGTGGATATGCACATACATGTCCAAATAGAAACATATGCCATATTCCAAGCCTAGTGCAGATAGAGTGACAAGGCCTGCTGTTTATGGCCTGTGCAAGGACCCTAGACCTTACCTGCAAATCCTGAACCCATGCCCCCTCAATCACCCGCGCCAACACAAAATACAAAGACCAAAAATCGCAAACGCCGAGTGCTCTACAACCCGGCCCTAAGAGACAAGACACGTGTAATCCTCCTAGCAACCCGTTTATAACCCGCTATAGACCCTGAAAAAGCCCTTAGACACTAAACTCATAAATCCTAAAACCTTAAAGCCCTAGAAATTTAAAACCCTACAACCCTAAACCCCTCAAAACCCTTAAAGAAATTCAACCGCCCCTTCGCAGGCGCCTGCACGGCGATGCAGCCGCCTTGTGAGAATCCGCCGACGAAGATCTTCTCCTGGGTTGCCGGGTGCGACGAGCTTTCTACTCTCTAGGGTTTCGGCTTTTTCTAAAGTTCCGGCAGCAGGTTTAGGGTTGGGGCCTTGCAGAAGAAGGATTAGCGTGTACGGTTGTTCGTAGTCCGACAGTCCGACGGCCTGTGTGCATTCTGGGCCTCCGTCCTCCGGTTGAAGTACCGTTGAGAAACCCCGCCTGAAAGCAAATCGAAAACCTCAACCCCCAATCAAAAGTCCCTGAGGAAACCATCAACCACAAATCCAAGTTTCATAAACCCGACTCCAAACCCATAAACCCGCAATCCAGAAACCCCAGACCTATGACCACCAAGTCCAAAAGCAAAAACGCAGAGTAGACCCATACACCTAAAGCCTTTCAACCCTTATACTCTCTAAACTCTTAAGATATGCTGCATCCAAAACACCGAAGGCCGCAAGCCCTAAACCTATGTTATCATTGTTAAACCGGCAAACCTCAAAACCCAAACCGAAATACCAGCCCTAAAGCAGCCCTATCAAGATTTGAGACGCGTTTCGCTCGGAATGCCCCGGGCGATCTCTCGACGTATCAGGATATGCACCTCGTATCGTCGGAGTAGGTTTCTTTGCTTTACATGTTGGCATGGCCAATCTCCACTTGTAATCCCTTCCCCCCTTTAAAAACAATAACTCACCGCCAGGATTTCGCGGTTTCGGGCCCACAATTGAAAGTTAATTAACAACACTAGAAGGGGGGGGGCTAAGATTGTATGATTGCGAATAGAACCAAAAACTACAGCAGTACTCATGAACCGAAGAGACCAGAGTTTTAGGGTTCAAAGGTTTAGGGCTCAGGGCTAAAGCTTTACCTTAAGCCGGAATAACCTACCTTTTTAAGGACTTATATAAGGAAATCAGAATAAGGGACCCTAAAAAGGTAGGTTATTCCGGCTTAAGGTAGGGCTTGGGCTTCAGGGCTCAGGCTTTCGGGCTTAAGGTTTAGGGCTTAAGGCTGTAGGGCTGACTTTCTAGTCTACAGCTGGAACAGCTGCGCGGGAATTGGTCGCTGTTGACTCGTCTGACTGTTCTGACGAACTACTGTCAACCCGACTCACACCCGGATGCACCGAAGCCCCGCCTAATACTGAAACACCATCCCAAAAATCATTTTTTATGTTAGGGGGGTCGGGCGTTTTAATGTTAGGGGAAGGGATTAGTCTTGTTGGGATTCATACTGTAAGTTTATATGCCGGGATCCCAGAAACGGATAGGTCAAATACTTGGTTCTCCATACCGGGTTTCAGGCGCAAGCTTTGTAGGGTTAACTTCAGTGTTGGCCGAAGGCTGGGAAACTCCTCCTAAGAAATCTGTAGGGGTTAAAGTACTTGAGGTACGAGGCCTTGCAGATATGTTTCAGGATTTGGAATTCAGACTCTTGTCTTCGTTGAGAACTTGAGAGGTTAGCATAGAACTCTGCAGCAAAATCTGCACGCAGCTGCAAAGCAATGTCACCGTTCCTGAAGCAACAGCCTTTGCCTCACAACTCCCAGATTCCAAACCAGAACCTATGTAAACCCAAACCATAGAATCAAGTCCAGGCGTGGTGCATAGTCGATGCTTTCGCGCACGGCCTCACCCCCAACAGATGCGCCGCCCATCATCGCGGCGGTTGTAAACCAGGAGCGCATTCCTGATTTCGAGTTTTTCCTAGCGATATCAGTATGCAGTGGCGCAAGACTTTATGTACTTCAGTTGCTCTTAAGAGGGCCTATTCGTTGTGAGACCGAAACTATCCCCCAAAGGTTTTACACCTTCTGAAGTATTAAAACGTAGCATAGATACCTACATAATTTCAAACCTTAACCCACAAAGTTCGGAACATCGAGGAAGCGCAAAGCCCCCGAATCCTACAGTTTGGTGCTTGCTTGCCGGCGCAAGCATCAAGGCCTTCAGAGGCTCCATAGTAGTTCCTTTTTGGGGTTCATATGCAGAACCCTTTAAGGTAATCAAAGGAACGACTATGGAGCCTCTGGGTAGCCTAGAGTTTGAGGTGGGCTTGACGGGTCTAGGAACTTGGATAATAATTAAGATGTAAGAAGGCCTGTTCCCAGCACGGACAACAAGCACAGCAAGTTATAGGGCTGCGAGAGACTTTGCCTGTCCAGTTGTGCACGGGAACTATGGACAACCTCAGTACAAAGGACAACAGGTCCGGATCTGTTATATGACAAGTGATAAAGTATCTTGCTGAGCTCTTCAATCCCCCTAGCCCGCAGCCCTCAAACCAGAAGCCCTTGAACCTCTACCCTGAGCCCTGAACACTAAGCTTGAATCTCAATACCCCTTGTATAGAACCCTTCGTAGGATCCGTGCAAACTTAAAATCTCCTAGGCCCTGTGCTAGATAACACCCTCTCGAAAGTTGCCAGGTGCCCTGTCAAATACAGAACCTTATACTTATAAGCCTTAGGAAGCGGTATAGACCTCTAGAACATTCCATAACGAACCTAAACACCCCGAAGGAGCGCTTTGATCGAGGTGCCGCTGAGTGAGGGTGCAGTGGGCAGCACATAGCGAACAGATGGCAAGCTCAGTAAGTTGGGAAGCTGGCTCACGAAGCCTGAGGGGCTTGTGACATGTAGTGTTTAGGGTTTAGGCTTTAAGGGCGGTTTGTGCCCGGGGTTGAGGGCTTAGAGGTGCAAGGGTTTGGGCTTACGTGTTTAAGCCTTGGGGTAGGCTTGGGGTTTGGGGCTTTAGGGTCCGCCGGTTTGTTGGATAATTGCGACATGCTCGCTTCATTTAAGTTAGATGAGCATAAGTGGAATGAGGAGTTGTTGTTGTTGCTTGATACCCTAAACCCTAAACCGTATGAGAGCTGGTCCGTGTGGTTGAACTGTTGAAGGTGCACAAGTCGACATGATAGTTTTGCTCTGCTAATGCTGGTAGTAAAAAAATGTTTGTAAACATCGTCAGCATGACCACCACCATCATCATGATGATCATAATCCCTCGGTTCTCACGGCCTACATCAGTGGGCTTCGAAGTCACAGACAGCACCCAAACTTTGTCTGAAAGAGTTGAGGCTTGAGGGTTTAGGTCTGCAAGGGGTTCAGCTTTGTAACTTCGGGGCCTCAAGATTAGGACTTCCGCGCTTTTGCACAAGGAAAGGAGGCAGTCGGCTGTAACGGATCTTGTGCAACCAAGCCTGGCCCCTGAGCCACGCCAAGAAGCCTCTGCCCGAGTCGCCGAAGCCATGCAGGAAGATGAAGACACCATCCTCTTTCCTCAGCTGCACTTGAAGGACCAGGAGACTTAGACAAATGGGTTATATACAGGCAATGTAATGGTTGCCATAATAACCTTTATCCGCAACTGAACGTGCTTATAAAGCTTCTTACCAAGTGCCTGGAGAAGGAGATCTGGCCGCTAGGCAAGTAACGTAGTGCACTCACAAGCAGCCTAGCCTTACATAAACCGCTCGCTAAGATGCTTCAGAGCTTGCATAGCTGAAGCTGCCAAGCTGTAGCAAGACAGTCAAGGCAGAAAAGACACGAGCTCTACCCTGGCTGGCTTCATGAAGTCGCTCTACAGGGCTTTCTACCCTTAGAACCCCCCCCCAAGCCACAGTGCCTTGTGCCCCTAAAACTTCAGCTCCGAGGGGTACGTTATCACACTCTGTCTTAAGGTACATCCCTTACTTCATGGCTTTGTTATACTGTGTCTTAAGGGTTTTTTACCCCTTACTGCCCTTACTTCATGGGAACTGCACAGCTCTGCCGGCAGCGCCCTAGAAACCCTTGAGGCCCTGAGCTCCCCAGAGACTCCAATGTCCCTTAATTAAGGAATATACCTTATATTATATTAGGGATCCTACTATCATTTAAGGTATATTCCTTAATTAAGGGATATACCTTAAATGATATTAGGGATCCTACTGTGAGGTATATTCCTTAATATTAATTAAGGGATATTGGAGTCCCTGAACTTCAGAGCCGAGAGTCTGTGCACTGGGCAGCTCGACCAGCTCGCCGAAGTGGGCGAAGCGCCCCGCAGCGTCCCGGAGCTGTGGAGCAGGGCTCCGGGCTCTTAGGGGTTTAGGGTTTAGGGGTTTAGGGGTTTAGGGGTTTAGGGGTTTAGGGTTTAGGGGTTTAGGGGTTTAGGGGTTTAGGGTTTAGGGGTTTAGGGGTTTAGGGGTTTAGGGGTTTAGGGTTTAGGGGTTTAGGGGTTTAGGGGTTTAGGGGTTTAGGGGTTTAGGGGTTTAGGGTTTAGGGGTTTAGGGTTTAAGGTTTAGGGGTTTAGGGGTTTAGGGGTTTAGGGGTTTAGGGGTTTAGGGGTTTAGGGGTTTAGGGGTTTAGGGGTTTAGGGTTTAGGGGTTTAGGGGTTTAGGGTTTAGGGGTTCAGGGTTTAGGGGTTTAGGGTTTAGGGGTTTAGGGTTTAAGGTTTAGGGTTTGGGGGTTTAGGGGTTTAGGGGTTTAGGGGTTTAGGGGTTAGGGTTCCTCCAGCCCTAAATCTTAGGTGCTGATATCCGGGGATAGCTTCCCAAATCATAATAGTAATTCCTACTATAGAAACCCTACTACATTCTAGCACATAGGCGCTTAGGAGCCTTTGAATAAATGAAATCTATAAGTCTATAAGGGTTCTGAAGGGGTTTCACGGTCCAGGGTGCAAGCATCCGGAGCTGCAGCTACTGCAAGGGATTCGAAAATATGGAGCTGACACGAAACTTTTCGGGAGGAGTTCCTTGAAGGGGAGAGGGAAAGGGTCACTTACGCTCGGTATGTCGGGTTAGGCGCACAGTTTGAACTGAGAGCGCTCAGCCCAAAACTCTAAGCCCTGTCGCCAGCTCAGGAACTTACCAAGTCCGTCATCCTCCCAGTAAATATGCACTAAGCTGTAAGCCCTCAACGCGAAAAGGCCTAAAGAAAATAAACAGTTACAGGACTCAAGCCTACAAGCCCGAAAAGTCCTTACGCCCCAGACACCCTGCGCAAAGAACCCTAAAACCTAAAGCCTCTCTTGGTGCATCAGGGCCTGAATACAGAAGATACCGAAGGCAAAGCGATTCGGGTGTGGGTCCATGGGCCAGTAAACCCTCAGCCTCTGGGGTTTTGAGGGCTTCGAAAGTTTAGGGCTCTAAGATTTTCTGTGTTTAAAGAGTTCGGCTTCAGTAACGAGAAACTTGTGGGGTGGGGTGCTTACAGGCTACACTACCTACTTCAGTACTTCAGTAGGAGTTTATACTTCAGTGAGGACCCTGGAGCCTACACCCAAAACCCGAAGCCCTTTGTCCGAAAGTGAAAGCCTAAACCGCAACACCCCTAGTCCCCAAACTCCCATCTCCAAACCCCAGTCAAGCGTGAGTAATCAGAGCCTTGCTGATTCGAAAAGGGTTTTTGGGGTATAGGTATAGATGATATAGTGATATACATATGATAATGATAAGGAACTTAAGGAATAATGTCGCTAATCCTACCACCCAATCCTCAAATCCGAAACCCTGAGCCCCAAACTGCGCCATAGACCTTCTGACCCAAATCCAACATAAAGCGACCCATAGAACCTAGACCCCTAACCAATGGCTTAGGCAACTAGGGCTCAAGTTTTGCGGCTGTGCGGTGTTAATCGGCTTTTAGGGTTTTAACAGGGTTTAGGGTCTTGGGTTTGAGGGCTTAGGGTTACCAAAGAGCCGGGGCACCGGATCCGTCGCCGAGGCAGTCGCGGCAGACGGCTGCGGTTTTTGGGCTGCCTTGCAAGTTGAAGCGCAAAGACTCCTACTGTTGATGATATAAATCCTGCACTACCCGCAATAAGGAATATACCATAGTTCCCGTACTTTAGGGTCCTTAAGGTAATGCAGGATTTATATCATCAGCCGAAGTAGCAATGCCTTGAACATTCGAGTGGGGTCCTTCCAAGGGTTATATAAGGGCTACTATAAGGGCGTAGTGCAGAACTCTTCAAAACTGGAATCGGGTTGTGGGGTTGTGGTTCCCTTAGTATAGCTAGTAATCCATAAAACCCCTCTTATAATGGAACCCCTATAGATCCCTTTAAAGGAGCCTTTTAAGGAAACCTAGTTACTCAGTCCCATGATCCTTTAAGGCAGCTAACGGCCTCACTTCTTTTGGGATGTCTTGAGCGCTTTAGCGGTTTAAGCACCTCAGATGTTACCCTAAACTTACCCTGAACACTAAGCCCTGAATCCTGAACCCCGAAACCCCTAAACCCCAAAACCTAAACTCCTAAACCGTAAACCCTAAGCCTGAAACCCTGAACCGTTTTGAAGCTTTAGACTTGTTGAGCTTCCTTTGCTCAGCCCGTTGTGGCTTTTCACCGTCAAAAGTTGAAACTTTCAGAATCGAACCCCTTGTAAGAACCACGAAAGTTGAAAAGTTGAGTTTACAGCCAATAAGTTCAAGGGCCTGAATAATTTACAATCATGCCCTCCACAGTTCCTAGATGATTATACCATGACATACCCCCTAACCCTGGTCTAATCATGAAGGCCCCTATATCACGAGAAACTGCCAGCGAGCCGCCGCATACGCTTCGGGTCTCTCAGCCAAATTTGCTTAAACCTTACTTAAAGGATCATGGGACTGAGTAACTAGGGTTCCTTAAAAGGCTCCTTTAAAGGGATCTATAGGGGTTCCTTTATAAGAGGGGTTTTAGGGATTACTTAAAGGATCATGGGACTTAGTAACTAGGGTTATAATGACGGCAACTATACTTATAACCCCAATTAGGGTACTTCTAACCTTACTTGCTAAGTCCCATGATCCTCCAAGTAGGGCCCCGTTTACCCAACTTCCGATTTCTTTCTGGGCTGTCGACACAATTCTAATGGTCGTACGAAGCTTCAGCACAAACTTAAACGATTCTCGTGCTTAGGTCCTTGTGTCAGTGTCGTCCCATTTTGCTTCAACTTCGCAGTGACCATATCGGGCCCTGCGAATCCTTTCAATGGCAGAAATTGTCCAAGCATTCGTAATAGACTTGCTCAAGCCAGGAGCGTGCAAACCCTGTATTGCTCTATATACTGAAACATACAATCCTGGCGGCGTGCCTTTGGTGGCAGATTCTTGGCGACGGTCTCCTCCACGCGCGCGATAAGCTCCGACTTCTCAAAGCAATCCTGAATGTTTAGGATCTGGAGTGCCGGCACTTCATGATAGTATAACAGTATATTATAGTACACCACGGCATGTGCTAGTATATTCGAGTAGTTAATACAGTAAATGTTCTTGTAGTTGTTATCGTAGTGGTTGTAGTATTGCACTTGAAGGTCGTGGGGCTCGGCCCTATCCCCAGGGGGGTCGACTCTGCGCTTAAGAGGGTAGGCCAAACTTCACGTTTTGGTTTCGTCTGTATGGATAGTTCTCTTGATTAGGGCCCCTGTTTAGGGTCCTTCTTATAAGGGTGCCGTACTATTTCGGTACATAGAAAGGGGGCCCTGATTTAGAGAACTACCCAAAAAGAATTAAACGGTCTCTGCACAGTCAAGTGAGCATCCAACATCTCCCAGCGCTGCTCCAGTAGCAACGAAGACAAATCCTCTTATGGCCGACTCTGTGCTTTGACTTTGACTTTGGTTGTCGCTCTTATCAAAGGGTAAAAGGAGGGACCCTTAATGGGGACCCTATAATGGGCTATATAATGGGTATGTAATAGCCATTAAGGTTATATACCCAAGGGTCCTTATTAAGGGTCCCTCCTTTTCCCCTTTGATCTTACTGTCATGGCGACTAGCTGCGCTGCACAGTCTTTGCACATGATTTTCAGCCCGTATCTATGCGTCAACCATGCTCGATTACTTGCAGACGAGAGGCATTGTGCCGAATGCCCCGTTCGTCCAAGTACCTCAGGTCGGGCATGGTAACCCTGTACGCTAAGGACCCCGGCTCTGGAACAGCCTTTGTAGAGACAGGGCCCCTTGGCTTCGTGGTCCAGGGTATGGGGCATTGCAATTGTTGCTGGTTTAGTCTGTGTCTGTGTGCATGAGACAGACGAGGTACTTTGTACAGGCCTTCTGGGCACATGTGCACACATATAAACACACCTATTACATACATCTGCACCTGTAGATATGCGGGTCGAGTGTTGCTGGATCCGTGAACCTGCACAGGTGTGTCTTCCTGTCAACCAATCAAAACCAACCAACCAACCAACCGATCAATTTATGTACATATCTATCTATCGATCTGCGTCTCAAGCTCTCTGCCAAATCTATCTCCATCTCCATCTATCCATCTCCTCCACAATCTTTCCAGCTATCTATCTGTCTGTAATCTACCTATCTAGCTGTCTGTCTGATTTGCATTCCCGAAGTCTACATTTCTGTGCGGTTGTCTTTCATTTTCGCCCGAAAAAGTTCGGATGAAGGGGTGGCGTGGCTTTGGGTGGAGGATCGGTATGCCTGCACACAGCTTGAGACAGCTTGAAACGTCTGGGCTAGAAATGCAAAACAGGCTACCTTCTTTCTATCAGTCGCTCGACCTATGTACAATAGAGTGACAGTCTCGTTTTAGTATGCCGACATGTGTACATATATATATATATGCGTTTGTATATGACATATATATATATATACATGTCTCTTGCTGAAAGGGGTCTCTATGCCATGAATCCGTGCTTTCAAAGTCCTTCCACAGAAAGTCAGTGCGCTGGGGGGCTTCCTGGTTACACGCAAGCACCCAAGAAACCCGAAACCTTGAGCCCCCGCAAAACCCTACTTGAAGGATCATGGGACTTAGTAAGTAAGGTTATAAATACCTTAATTGGGGTTAAAGTATAGTTACCCTAATTATAACCCTCATTACTAAGTCCCATGATCCTTCAAGTAAACCTGAAGGCTCTGCAACGCTGCATCCCGAAAAGCCCGAACACTGAGAGTCTGAGTAACTCGGAACCAGATGCTCCCAAACTGAAAAGAAAATTACGACGATCCTTAGCCAAAATGCTCAACTCTTGGATCCTTGGAACCCTAAGGAGCTCCTACAACAAACCCACATAAAAAAATAACATAAAAAAAAAAAAAAAAAAAAAAAAAAAAAAAAACTGAGATACGAGGATAGAAGCCTTGAGCTCTCTTTGACGCCCAGTGGCCGCCGCATTTCACTGGGGCGCCAGGTTGACACGTCTTCCAGAACGCCTGCAACCAGGACCCGTGGCTTAGAGTTTACCTTAACCCCGAAGAACCCACACTTTTAAGGACCTTTATAAAGAAATCATAATAAGGAACCCCAAAAAGGTAGGTTGTTCAGGGTTAAGGTGGGGTTTAGGGTGGGTTTGCGCTAACTGGGAGACACACTTCCTTAGCTAGCCAGGTTTAGGGCAGTTTAGGATCCATAGAGTTTGACGCCTAAGTTTAGAGTAGTATAGGATTTAGAGCTTGGTGCTCAGGGCCTAGGTTTTAAGGTCTAGGTTCCCTAAACCCTGAACACTAAAATCCTAAGTTCAGGGTTCAAGTGAAAGCCAGGGTTGCGGCTTCGCGGTTGAATTCAGCAAGGGCGGTCTGAGAGTAGTCCCTCAACCCTAAACCCTAAACCCCCTACTCTCTTTAAACCCTGTTTGGGAAAGTGATTAAGGGTTAAGGGGCCCGGGGATGTCTTGGGGGGGGGAGGATAAAACTTGAGGAATTTAAGTCTCCAGGTTCAGGGTTTTAGGTTGCAGTTTCAGAGGCTCCGAAAACCCTAAACCCTAAACCCTATAACCCTAAGAATGTAAAGCTTTAGCATTAAAGCCCCTTGAAGCGAAAACTGCCCTCTAAACCCCCTTGCAAAAGCTAAACCCCTCTATCAAAGCCTCCGAAAGCGCCTACAGGGCATCCCAAATCCGAATCCCCCAAATGAAGTCAGGCCCGCAAACCAACTCCAATCTCTACACACATAATGCCCTTCAAGAGACCTGCAGAAGCCCTTTAACAAACCTACAAAGCCCTTCAAAAAGGCTACAAAGTCCGTTAAAGAGCTTACAAAGCCCTTTAAGAAGCACAAAGCTTTTCGACAAACCTACAAAGCCCTCATATCAAAGAAAAGGCCGGGCCCTGCGTGGAACCAGCGTGCCGGAGGAGGCCGGAGTTCACACGACCTGAAGGCTTTGGGGTTTAGGTTAGGGTTAGGGGTTTAGGGTTTAGGGTTGAAGGGTTGAGGGTTTAGGGTTTAGGGGGGTTAAGGTTTTTGGAGGGCCAATTTGAAAAGATTTGAGGTCTAGCGTTCAAGTTTTGTGCGGTGCTCAGTGCTTCTCCAGGTCTCAGGGGTACTGTCAGGGTACAGGAGTTAGGACCGGGATCATCTACTGTAGGGCTTTCGCTTCAGGGGAAGCTTGTGGCCCGGAAGTAGCCATGAGCATGGCTTACCCCAAGGGTCCAATGCACCTACTAAATAGGTACTCGGTTTTAGGATAGTAATGTAGGTTAGGACTTTGGAGAGTGTATGATTAGTAGGTACTTGGACCCTGGGGGTTATGGAGCTTTAGAAACACTCACTGCCGCGGCGTTGCGGATTGTGTTACCCTGATGGATACCGATGACATGGATTTGGGGCTAAGGTCGAGTCCTCTGCATGACAAGTAGGGGCGAAGGGAGCTTACGATCATCCGGGAAACGATGCCTGCACTTTTCGGGGGTTTATAACCCTAAACCCTCAACCCTAAACCTTAAACCCTAAAGCCCATCTAAATGTATTTGATTAGAGTCCGGTCAGGCTCCACGAACAACGTCTGACTTTCCACCATGCGCATTGCAGGATCCGTCAAGGCATCCTACCTACGAATTTTCGAAAGCGGCTCATGTAGATTAGCATCCTTTTTTGGTGTTCCCACACTAGTACGGCACCCTTACAGAAAGGACCCCTAACTTAGAGAACTTCCCAGAGTTCCTGCCTGCATGTCGAGCACTGCCGACAAAAGCCCGGCCAAGCCTTTCGCGAGAGTGTTTGAGGATCAGGCTGAGGTGCAGCATGGGCCAGGCTAGACGGGAACACTGCTCTCTACATCAATCTCGTAACTAGCACTATCAGTATAAAAATCACTACCACTATATGACTCTGAGTGTCCGCTATCACGACCACGATCACTAAGCCAAATACCCTCAAGCTAACCCATAGCTACTAAGCATCCCAAACTGTGGCCTCCATGTTGAAAGCATCCCGGCCAGCAACAACACACACGCCACGGGAAGCGCCGCGCTTCGGCGAGTGACGGGAGCCATGTTCTCAAATCAGTTTAGGGCAGCCTGCGAAGCCGTTATTGGTCGTTGAAGGTGGGAGTGTGTGTGGTAATCATTGGGTTTCACTATTGCAGGGCTAGTCGGGGGCTGGCTTTGGGGTTTCTGTGGTTCTTGGGTTTTTGGTCCAGGGGTGCATCGGGGCTGGGACTCTAAACCGACATGGCTTGTTGCAGGCTCGCTGTGAAGGCTCTACAGCGTCTGCATGCGGGTCTCGAGGATGTGGGGGGGGATCTAGTCTAGGTCTGCAAACGCTGCGCGGCATTGACGGGCGGATGCAGCTGGCCCCAGGCTTCCACCATTTGTGGGCTTTTGTTACAACCTTCAAGGGGCCCATTAAGGGTGTAGGATTCAGGATATGATCTTGGGAAGCACAGGACATTCATTGAAATTCCCAGTGGCCAAAGAAACGCAGATGTCTTTGTTCATACCCAAACGGGCGTGACCAACATCTTACGCGGGATCGCCCCGGCACTGCACCAAGATGTGGGCCGAGATAGATCGTTTAAGGGACTACGAAAAGAATAGGATGACCGCGTCATGACGTTTCAAGAATCTGAAAGGAAAATCTGCAGAAAGATCTTGAGAGTTCTCTCCATACTATAAGCTGAAATTATCAATGCTGTGAGAGCGCAGTGCACAAAGTCAGTGAGATGCGTGGACGTGGGCTGCAATAACGGATTGGTGAACTCAGTAAATACCTGGCACCGCGGTTGCCGAAAACAAACACAGCAACCAACCATGTTCTACTTATGAATGTACCATATAAAATACAACAACGATGTTCATGAAATACTCAACGGTCCAGGGCAATAAACTCTGCAACCCCAAATGAACAAAATTCCCCGCAGTATCGTAGAAAGCCCTACCCACACCCACCGGAGCCTTTGAAGCTTTTCCAGTCTGTACCATCGAACGTGTATTTTGGAGTTCACTAACCCTTTGCTCGCTGCGGCTCGAGGTGTGGGGCCTAGGGACTATGTGTGATAGGGGATTAGGGATTTTAGGGCTCAGTGTCAAAGAGGTTGGTTCTTTCTATGACAGATGAGAGGATTTCAAGTCGTACCGGGACCATGGACTCGATTTTAGGGTTATGGATTGTGGGTTAGGCTGCAGGGTTCAGGGCTTCGGGTATTCATGATGTGGCCCAGTACCGTTCGACTGCAGAATAGGAGTCTATCTCATCCAATCAGTATGCTCCAAAGTCCGCATTCGCACTGGGTACGCTCCCCATAAAGCGACCGTAAACACTTAGCCCTGCGCTGACCCTGCGTGTTTGCACTGGACAACCCAAAATCGCACTTGTCTGAAGCCTGCCTTGCAACCGATGGCCCTCTCCGGCCACACGAAACCCCAAACCTGTAAACTTCGGATCCTCGAAATCCTTGAACCCGCAAACCAAAAAGCCCGAAAACCCATGTATAGTAAGCCTTATAGTAACACTGATAGTGTCCCTCATAGCAAGCCTCATTGCATCCCTGATGGTGTCCCTTATGGTATCCCTTGTTAGACCCCTCAAAGGATCCCAAACCTCCCTTCTAGTATCCCTTACTTATAGTCTTATAGCATCTTTTGTAGTATCCCTTATAGGATTCCCTTTTACTTTTTAGACCTCTCAGAAGATCCCAAACCTCCCCTCTAGTATCCCTGCATCTGTTGTAGTATCCCTTATAGGATTCCCTTTTACTCTTTAGACCCCTCAAATGATCCCCAATCCGAGGATCCGACGGCCACATGGCTGCGACGATGACGGATCTGGCCTTCGCTGTTTGGTTGCGGCGGTTGGGGTTTACAGAAACCCCATAAAGTTGGAAACCCGATTAAGGCCAAACAGTGCTGGGATTCCCTATACATTACTCTTAAGGATTGAGGCTATTGGGTTTCCAACTTTTTGGCTTCTACTGTGGTTAAGGCTTAGGCTAACGGATATTCAGGGCGGGTTTAGGGTTTTGGGTAAAGGTTCAGGGTTTAGGGTATTCAGGTATTCAGGGCAGGTTCAGGGTTTGAGGGTTTAGGCAGGTTTAGTGTTGAGGGTTTAGGGCAGGTTCACTTGGCTGACTTCTGAACCCCTCTAAAAAGTTAAACTTTAAACCTTTCTATTGTAATTCATATAGAAACCCCAAAAGTTGAAGTCCTAAGAGCCAGCCGCCGGAACGCCAAGCTCAAGGCTTGAGATACAGGGCTGAGGATTTACAGACCCGAAGCCTGAACGAACCCCAACCACGACCTACAAAACCCAACGCACCCTGTCAGAAAACGTACAGGGATCAGGGATATGAGTGTGTGTATGTGTGTGTTATCTACATATACATATAGACATAGACATGCACACACACAAACCCACACACACACACACATATACACACATAAATAAATGTGTATATATAGATATATACATATACATGTTATGCCAAACTTGCCTACGCTACTAAACACTATACTGCTCTACTCAGCAAGATCGACATACTGCACCTTAGACAACCCTATTCCAAGTACACTAGCCGCTAGCCCCTAAACCCTACACCCTAGACAACCCTGTTGCATCGGCAAGCCCCTGAACGCCTCAATTTCTAGATTCACCAAACTGGGTTTGGTGATATCGGAAGAGGCTATGTCTTTGAAGCGCCTACTTAAAGGATCATGGGACTTAGTAACTAGGGTTATAATTAGGGTAACTATACTTATAAACCCAATTAAGGTACTTATAACCTTACTTACTAAGTCCCATGATCCTCGAAGTATAAAGAGCAGGCAGAAGACAGATATGCCGAGTGGCAACAGCAAAGACTCTGCACGTGCTGATGCGATACTCAGAGAACTTGAGCCCACAACTGCGTTGGCAGCACATATAGTCTTCAAAATCACGACACCCACGCAGCAGGAGCTGTATTGCACCGACTCCGGACAGCAACCCCGCTCACCCTGCCCTCAAACAAAACAGGCATGCCTGAACCCCATGCTGTCTGCCAATGACGGTGAATCTGCAAAGAAAGAGGGAACAGGGAACGGTGGGAGGCATCTCCTCACAAGCAAGCCAGATAGGTCCAAACACACGCCTTCGTTTGTGCATGCCGTGAGCCTGTAAATCCTAAAACCCTCTGCACCCTAAACTCCCGAGCCCTAACACCCAAACCGCCTAAACCCTCAAACCGTAACTACAGTCCCAACCCCCAAAAACCCCAAAATCCTAAATCCTTACACCGAACTTCGCCTTTCGGGACTGGGGGACTGAAGGCCTTCAACCTGGAGGTGGGGGAGGTTGGGGGTTTAGGGTTTAGGGTTTGGGGTTTGGGGTTTAGGGTTTAGGGTTTAGGGTCTAGGCTTTAGGGTTTAGGGTGTAGGGGTTTAGGGTTTAGGGGTTTAGGGTCTAAGGGAAAGTTGGATGGGAACATGGGTTTAGGAACTAGGATCTCCTATACCCTACCTTAGGGCTTCCTGAGGATATTGAATTTTCCAACTGTCTGGGTTCCACCATAGGGTTTTAGGGTTTAGGGACCAGGGGGTTTTAGGGGTTTTCGTTTAGGGCTTTAGGGTGTCTTTCTCAGGCCTGAGGGCTTCGAACGGCTTTAGGGTTTAGGGTTTCGTCTGCCATACACTTTAAAGGTCTTCGCAAGGCTATATCTCACTGGCCCAAAACCCAAAGAAACAACAGTTGAAACTGTCAGAATCGACCCTTTTATAAGAACCCTAAAAGTTGAAAAAATTGAGTTTACAGCCAATAAGATATGAGGTGTTACAAGGGGTTTTGGTCGGGGTCTCAGCTTTGGGATTTGAGGTTGAGGCTGGTAATGGCCAATCTAAGAAATGGAAACGTTTGGAAGGCCTCTCGCTTCTTAAGCTATAAAGGGGGTTTTGAAAAAAGGGGACCCTAATATAGTATTCGAAAACTCCCATAATGTCCTACATTTCAATCAGGATCGGCCTGAGCTTCCCCACCGGCTGGATATGTCCCAGAAACCTATGAAATTTCTTTGATTTTCCTGATCCTGATGGGTTTGATAAACCCTATACCTAACCCTAAGCCCTAAACCCTGAACCCCTGAACCCTAAAGCCTAAAGCCCTAAACCGCTAAACCCCTTACTAACCCCTAAAACCTTATAAAGCCCTAAACCCTAAAGCCCTAAACCCCTAACCCCTAAACTCCAAACCCTAAACCCTATAAGCCCTAAACCCTAAACCCTGAACCCTGAATCCTAAAGACTGAACCCTAAACCCTGAACCCTAAACCCTCAAGCCTAAACACTAAACCTTAACCCTGAATCCTAAACTCGAAACCCTAAAGCCCAAACCCTAAACCTAGTTCATGGTTGGGATAGGATTGAAAAATTACATTTTTAATCCTTATTGGATTTAAGTGCCCGTAAAAATGTGAAAAAGGCCCAACTATGACAAAGAATCCTTCGCGCGAAGCCCTCCCAGGGTTTTCACGAGCGGTCTGGGGTAGCAGTTCCTCGCGGCGCGGGTGCCTCAGATCTCCTTCTTCTGCAGCGAGGGCCTCAGTTGGTCAACAGAAAACGTATTGTTTTAACGGGTATCGGACTTTCAGAAAAGGGTTTAGGGGAAAGGTTTCGGGGTTTAGGGTTTAGAGCTGAGGGTTTAGGGTTACATTCCCCTTGACGGTCAGTTTAGATTTTGGGATTATATAACTGTAATTACTCCTTAAACATTTACGGAGCCAGACTTCTGTTTAAGGAATATTCTAGATGTGCCCTATTCTACGAACTACGTAGTATACGGGAGTATTTCAGATTACGCCTAAACTGCGAAGGGCTTCTGCTGGCTATGCAGATTCCAGAAATATGGAGTAATTAATGAGGGGGAGGTGGGCTCCCACCCATGCGCTCAGACTTAGAGTGGGTGTTTGCGACAGCAAGAGCTATGCTCGTACTCTCCAAAGTGGTTCTTCGTTTTGGCACCTGGCTCCTGACCACATTTTAGGGTTTGGAGTTTGAGGTTTAGGGTTAGGGGGTTAAGGGGTTTAGGG